CAAAAATACTCCAGATAAGATCAAGGTAGTGTATATAAACAAAAATACTCCAGATAAGATCAAGGTATTGTCCATAAATATAAATACTCCAGATAAGATAAAGTTAGTGTATATAAAGAAAAATATTCCAGATAAGATCAAAGTAGTGTATATATATATATAACAAAAAATACTTCAGATAAGATCAAGGTAGTGTATATAAACAAAAATACTCCAGATAAGATCAAGGTATTGTCCATAAATATAAATACTCCAGATAAGATAAAGTTAGTGTATATAAAGAAAAATATTCCAGATAAGATCAAAGTAGTGTATATATATATAAATACTCCGGATAAAATAAAGTTGTGTATATAAAAAAAAATAATCCAGAGTAGATCTAGGTTGTGTATATAAATATAAAATACTCCAGGTAAAATCAAGGTAGTGTATATAAATAAAATACTCCAGATAACATCAAGGTAGTGTATATATATATATAACAAAAAATACTTCAGATAAGATCAAGGTAGTGTATATAAACAAAAATACTCCAGATAAGATCAAGGTATTGTCCATAAATATAAATACTCCAGATAAGATAAAGTTAGTGTATATAAAGAAAAATATTCCAGATAAGATCAAAGTAGTGTATATATATATAAATACTCCGGATAAAATAAAGTTGTGTATATAAAAAAAAATAATCCAGAGTAGATCTAGGTTGTGTATATAAATATAAAATACTCCAGGTAAAATCAAGGTACATGTTGAAGAAAAATACTCCAGATAAGATCAAGTTGTGTATATAAAGAAAAATACTCCAGAGTAGATCTAGGTTGTGTATTTAAATATAAATACTCCAGGTAAAATCAAGGTAGTGTATATAAATATAAATACTCCAGATAAGATCAAAGTAGTGTATATAAATATAAATACTCCAGATAAGATCAAGGTAGTGTATATAAGCAAAAAATGCTCCAGATGAGATCAAGTTATTGTATATAAACGAAAATACCTAACCCTGTTAGCCACCTAAAAACACTGATAGAGTTTCCTAACCTTGTTAGCCACCTAAAAACAGAAAAGAATTTCATTTAGAAACGATACTTTCTTATTTGTTTATGTGTCGTAACGTATGGTCGATCATTGGATTCCTGGCTTTTCTTTTATGGTTTCCTCAAGATAAGTCTTAGATCGGAATTTTCGACCTGAACGACATCTTTTGGACACGTGGAGTACATGGCCAAGTTAGGGAAACCTAGGAAGCAGGTACAACTTCTCCTATCTTTTAACTTCTGACCAGAAGGAAGGCAGCCTGCCAACAGCACCCGCCACCACAAAATCATTGTTCTCTTTATTTGACATAAATAAAGGATGAACGATAGTTTTTATACCTAACAAAATAACCGTCATTAATTCCAAAGCAATTCTAGCTCTGGCTAGAAATTGAGAGATTATGAACTACTAAACATCCTGTAACCATCGTGTTGTTAAACCTCAAGAAACGAGCAGCCCCAGTCTTGGTGACCTCTGTTTGGTTCTGATTCCTAATAACCTTGTCATTGTATTAATCAAGAATATATATTTATTTTTTGAGTGGTTGAAGTAAAGAAAATTGAAGACATATAATGTGATACCTACCGGTGTCCTGGGCAGTTTTCGACGGGTCGGAGATATAGACTGTACATCCTGGGCACTACTCTGATCTATCAATGAATTATATATAATTAAATAAATCAATAATTATATGTAACATAATTTTTGATTTTGTAACTTTAATATAAGAGCTGTTGAAGTCATAATTGTGCAAAGAATGTCTTAAGTTTTAATAAAGGAATTAGCGGTGCTACTTATACACAATCATTCAAATTCCAAAAATAGTTTCAGTGATAGTTACGTAATCTCAACTAATTTTACACCTGTACCTCTGTACTTCTCTCCTCAAACTTTGTACACAACTAGACGTTCGTTAGCTGTAGATACGAGGTTCGAAACTGTATGTAAATTACCAAATTAGGTCAAACGTGATAATGTTATATCTCTTATGAGCCTCTGTAGATACGGGACTAAGTAAATGGGTAACTCCTTAATTCTGATACTAAGCAAACAGGATCCTTCGTAGGTCTCTAACTAAGCAAACAGGATCCTTCGTAGATCTCAAACTAAGCGCACGGGAATATTCGTAGATCTCATACTAAGCAAACAGGATCCTTCGTAAATCTCAAACTAAGCAAACAGGAACATTCGTAGATCTCAAACTAAGCAAACAGTAACATTCGTAAATTTCAAACTAAGCAAACAAGATCCTTCGTAGATCTCAAACTAAGCAAACAGTAACATTCGTAGATCTCAAACTAAGCACAGATCGAGATCAGTGAGCTTGGGTTATATGGCACTTCAAACATGTATTTTACAACGTGATGGAAGAAAAAGTGCACGAATCTCAATTTACCCCTGGAGGTTGAAGGTGAACCGTTTAAAAACGTTTTGCTTTCTTGAATAATTCTCCCAGCGTTATCAATGTGACTCAGTCGAGTGGTTTACACCATGTAAAAGTGTTACTACATTTAATAAACACCAACTTAAGCGACTCATAATACTAGAGTAGTTCTACATTTCCCATCGATTACTATATAGATGGCGCTTGTCAGGCAGGTGAAGCTCCATTTTTTTTAGTTTCACCACCATGTTGGAGGATTCCACAAACATTTCTATATCTTTATGGCCTAGCATGGCCTGGTGGTTAGGTCACTCGACTGACCTGTCATGCTCGACCGTGGGGGGCATTATAATGTAACGGTCTTATCTCACTATTCATTGGTAAAAGAGTAGCCCAAGATTTGGCGGTGGGTGGTGTTGACTAGCTCCCTTCTCTATAGTCTATCTCTTCAAAATTAGGGACGATTAGTGGAGATATCCCTCGGGTTGCTATGAGTAAATTCAATAAACAAACTATATATATTTATACAATATTAGAAATAAATAAGCCCCCCAGTGGCACAGCGGTATGTCTGCGGATTTACAATGCTAGAAACCGGGTTTCGATACCCGTGGTGGGCAGAGCACAGATAGCCCATTGTGTAGCTTTGTGCTTAATTGCAAACAAACAAACAAACAAGAAATAAATAAAATGAGTATAAAACGCACATATTATATATGTACATGAGCTACACCAGGGTATAGTAAGGTGCCGTTGTTTTATGCTGTTTTTGGCTGTCATACAACCAATCACACAGCGACATTCTAGCAATACACCTATAAAAGTACAGGAAGCCATAATGTTTCTAGCACCAGTGTGGTGAATGTACTTATGGCTTCCAGGGCAGAAATGTCACTTGGCATACGTACATAATTCAAAGTTTTGACTGGTGAGGGCTACTCCATATATGTTACTTGGAAATTGTAAGATTTTACGTGAAACTAGTACGTTTGCGCATAAAGGAAGACAAGGCAGGTTATATATTTTTGGACTAGCGTACAAAACTATTCACGAGCTGAGAGAATAGAAAGAAGGCAACTAGTGAACAGCCCCATCCGCCAAATTTTGACCCATTTTGCTTTGATCGAACGGCCCTATGGTCTGAATAATGGGGTTTTTACCAACAACCTTACAACGTACCCAAAGTGTGGAGCACAATTGAAATTTTTTTTTGGGGGGGGGCGCTGGACCCATAGGTCCACAGTACCTAACGTTACCAACTGGGCCACGTTCGTCCCAAATCGAAGTAGAAAACCAGAACAAGAGTTTTCAGTAACTTAGGGTACGCCACAAGAATCTAGTCGGGATTTGGAGATTGGCCTAACTGTAAGTACAGGTATGAATGTTATCGACAAAATAACAAGACATACATCAGGACAAAGAACGATTAGCAAAGCTTGAGGTGGATGCTCTTTGCAAATGAATTCAAATTGTTTGGTAACAATCGAACAGTTTGTTCAAAGGCAGAGAGGGGACCAATATCACAGTCAATGTACAATATCTACAATGAAGCATGGTGGGGACCACTAGAAGCGTAGACTGAATCTCAGCTAATAGTGTTGTTGGAAATCTACACAATACTGATGGCACCCTGGCTTCTGATAGGCACAATTACGTCCTTATGTATTATGTCTTGCTTCAGGAACATTACTGAAATTTTGTTTCATCTACAACATAATAACCTTCTTTTCATATAAATGAGCATAATCTACATTCCTCCAGCTCTATTGAGATAATGGTTCAGATAATTACACATTTATGATAAGATAAAATGTTAGAATATACCTGGTTGAAGAGTAAGAGTTGGACTCCTTTTTGGAGAACTGGAGCTCCAAATGACACTGTGGTGGGAGGAGCGACCAGAACTTTTGTTTCCATTGGTTCTGAAACGAATAACATGTTACAAATGTGATATTACCAAGCTTAAAACAATATCTTAAAGAACCTTTGAAATAAACAAATTAGTTCAACAAGGAAATATATACATACAGCTGCTTAACTATTATAACAAAATGTGTCACGTAATGAAGGATCAATGAACCAGTAACACGTTAGTAATCTAAGTGCTTAGTGATCATAATGACTTGTTGAAAAAGATCATTCTTAGTCTACAAACAATCTTACTTTCCGCTATCCTGTTCAACTACTACTTCCACGCTATCACCGGTTCTTTCGATAATGGTCGACACTTCCTCAAATGTCCTGTCTACCAAAGTGACTCCACCCCACTCCAAGATCCTGTCTCCTGTGTAATAAGGACAATCGAACTGTATAGATACTACGAAAAAGTGTTATTTTTCGTGATAATACATTTACTGTCGAGTTGGAAATATCCAATTTTTTTAGACCAATAATTATTAACCAGCGAATAACGATTTAATATTGGCAACCAAGTTAAGATTTTATTATGTGTAGAAAGCTACGTATTTATATATTACTTGGAGTTACATATTTTGACACGAAAACAAAATAAAACCACCTCAATCCATTAGAAAAAGTTTATATTCTTGTTCTAGATACAAATAGAACAATTTCAATCCATTTTACAAAGTTACTATTCAAGATTTGTTTTCAGGAAATCGCCAACAAAACCTAGTCGCCATGTTTCATGCTAACCTTGACATATCCCATTTTGGTCAGCAGGACCTCCAGGTCGTGTCCAAGTTACAGTGGCACACATTCTCGCATCGTCAGCAGACTTTCCACCGATCACCCTCATGCCAAAACCACGTGCTGTACGTTGGGCAAACGAGATAAGTGAAATATTGAGAGACATAAAGTTAGGTGTATTAGGCTTACAACACAAAGCAAAATAAAGACACTAAGATGGCGTACGAAATCGGTGAAGAAAATGAACAAAACAACGGACGAGAAAAATCATGAAAAATTAAGCATCAAATCGACCACTGAATTCATTACAACTGCCACAAAAGTGTCAAACAACAACTAGAAGCGACAGAATTTTTTCAGTATTGTAAAAATAGAGAAGCAATTACAAAAGCAGGAAAGACAATTAAGGTAACGTTCAAGGTGTTCTGAAATGCAACAAATATTTTTTGGCATGAATTAAAACTACGACTTTCAAAGTAAACAACTTAGGACACAACAAACAATGAGAGAAGTTAGCTTACTAAAGAGAAAACTCAGAAATTTATCTTTTAAGTGGATTGTTAAAGTAACATAGTTGAAACTTACATTTATCAATAGACTTACTTCGTGCTCCGGTATCTTTCATATCTCTCTGAAGATGGACTTTCTTCTGTCGAGATTTTCGCTGTGCTGAAACAGAACATACTCCCCATTTTAGGTGGTTGTTGAGTGCACTCCAAAACAAGAGTTCCAAGAATATACAAAATGTAGGCTTAACTAGGATTACAGATAACTCTGAATACTAAACTAATACAGAAGACAATAACCAGAGATAATGAAGAACCTTCCTATATTCCAGAATAACAGAGATAATGAAGAACCTTCCTATATTCCAGAATAACAGAGATAATGAAGAACCTTCATATATTCCAGAATAATACAGAACATAATAACCAAAAATAATGAAGAACCTTTCTATGTTCCAGAATAATACAGGACACACAGACCAGGGATGATGAAAAACCTTCCTATATTCCAGAATAATACAGAACACACCAACTAGAGATAATGAAGAACCTTCATATATTCCAGAATAATACAGAACACACCAGCTAGAGATGAAGAACTTTCCTATACTCCAGAATAATACAGAACACACCAACTAGAGATGAAAAACCTTCCTATATTCCAGAATAATACAGAACACACCAACCAGAGATAATGAAGAACCTTACTATATTCCAGAATAATACAG